GTGTGTGTGTGTGATGGCGACAATGGGGACACTAGGGCTGCTAGCCAGAATGTCAGTTCTGATTTCAATGACCACTTCCAAAATAGTTTGGGCGGGTCGCTTTTAGAAGTGGGCGGGTCTAATGAGCGGCGGCCGCTTTCGATTTCCCTTTCCCCTAAACAGCCACACTTCTAGCAAGCGCGGCCGGCATCAGCCGGTTCCTGGGACTTTCCTAGAGCTCCGCCTTGGCCGGCGGCTCTTCCCTCCCCCAGCCGCTGGTCCGGTCGCCCACAGGATCGTGGATTCCGGCAGCAGAGACTCCGGCCCAGTCGGGAAAGCGGAGAGTCCCAGGCCGGGACCAGGGACAGCTCCTGCGAGGCAATGGCCTGTCCAAAGTGGTCCGCCGGCTGCAGGTTCTTCCGCTGCTCCGAAGCTTCCCTGGGAGCGTGGCTGGGGGCRTCACTGCTACTTTCCGCCGACTGTGTGCTGCTCCGGACTGCGCTGCCCGGAATAGTCTCCCGGCTAGTGCCCTCTTCGCTGCTGCTGCTCCGGACCTGGGTGGTGGGCCTGAGCCGCTGGATCATACTGTGGCTGGGGGTCCGCGGGATCCTCAAGGCAACAGTTGGCTGCAAGGGCGGAAGCACAAGGGGCCACGGGTGGCTGGCAGTTTTGGAGCCACTGGCGGCGGCGCTGGGTTTGGCCTTGCCGGGACTTGCCTTGYTTCGAGAGCTGGGCTCGTGGGGAGCCCTCGGGGATGTTGATAGCACCAGACTGTTGCACTGGGGAAGTCGCCTGGATGCGTTCGTCCTCAGCTATGTAGCCGCGCTGCCTGCAGCCGCACTGTGGCACAAGTTCGGGAGCCTCTGGGAGGCCAGCGGTCATGGAGACTCTGGGGTTGCGCTGCGTCGACTTGTAGGCTGCCTGGGCTCAGAGGTGCGACGTCTCCCTCTGATCCTGGTCCTACTGGTTCTCTCCTGTCTTGGTAAGGGAGACTCAGGGCTGAAGGGAAGGATACAGGGGGCTGGGCAGGATACAGGGGGCTGGGGTGATGGTCAAAGAAGAGCAGTGTGGGTTCTGGGAAATGTTGATGGGTGGACCTCTACCTAGCTCAGGTCTGCAGGGACCATTCCAGACTGCACTGGGTGGGAGCAGAAGTCCTGGGCTTCAGTGCTGGCCTGGGTCACTATGAGCAAGTCCTTTCTCTGAGGCAGAATATCTTATTTCTAATAGGAGTGTGTTTTACTGCACCATCTCCATCCTTCTTAATTAAACTCCCTGAAGGGGCTGGTGGGGCAACCACAGGATTGTGAGTTCAGTCATATTCAGTTTGGGCTATGAACTCAAAGTCTTTTTTTCTGCAGCTGCCCTGCAGGGTAATGGTAAGCCTGGAGAGGGGCAGGGAGGAGACAGTTTGAGGAGAAATGATGTGCTCAGACTTAAAGTTTGTGACTGACCCATCTCTCTTCTCTCCCAGGGGAGATGGCCATTCCATTCTTCACTGGCCGCCTCACGGACTGGATTCTACAAGATAAGACAGCTACTACTTTAACCCGAAACATCACTCTTATGTCCATTCTCACCATAGCCAGGTCTGGGAGTTGAGCATAGGAACCCTGGAAAAGAGAGGGTTGGATACTGGGGAGACCATCCAAAGTGTACTCCTGCAGGGATATCTGGGACCTTCTCTTCCTTGCCTGAACATACCCTGACCCTTCTTCTCCCCCATCTCTCTGTAGTGCACTGCTGGAGTTCGTGGGCGATGGGATCTATAACAGCACAATGGGGCGTGTACATAGTCACTTTCAGGGAAAGGTGTTTCAGGCTGTCCTGCGCCAGGAGACGGAGTTTTTCCAGCAGAACCAAACAGGTTTCTCACGAAATTTCTTATAGACTCTTATGCTCTATATCTCCATATAAGCTCTTTTACTTTTAACCTTGCAGATTTCCCCTGCCTTTCTTAAACCCATACATTCTTATTTATTTGTTAGCTGTAGTTGGACACAATACCTTTGTTTCATTTATTTACTCTTATGTGGTACTGAGGATTGAACCCAGGACCTCATACATGCTAGGCGAGTGCTCTACCGCTGAGCCACAAACCCAGCCCTAAACCCACACATTCTTATTTGTTATACTGGATATACCTCAGAAACAAAATATTGTTTTCTTTACCTTAAAAAAAATGTTTTCATCCAGAATTCCACATAAATCTGTCCCCATGTGTTCTAGTTAGAAACTATAGAATTTGAAACCTGGGAATGTTGAGATCATGAAGACCAACTGCCTCATGAGGTCTAGACCCTAAATGCTGAAACCTGTATAGTCATATTTGGTTGGAGGTAAACTTGGTGTTTGACCCAGCATTTTGATTCCCAATGCAGCATTCAGGATGGACTCCTGGACTGCTTCCTAGCAGCACCCTCCCTTCTCYGGGTCTGCTGCACGACCAGTTTGAGCTCCTTCTTGTGAATAGTGTGGGATATACAAAGTTTTAAAGAAGAGAAAGCTTTTAGAGAAATATAAAATCACAGGCAAACCAACTTTCTTAGAGTTGAAATGAAGGCCTTTGGCCAGGCTTTTCCTCTCTGACACTCATTTTTTCTGCATTGAGGTTCCCACACCTCCCCAGACTCCTAAGCTTATTTGCCTAGCCTCCTTAGAAACCCATGTTGACACCCCAACCCTGGCATCCTGGCTCTTCATTCCTCTTCTCATCACTCTGTAAACTGGTCTCATTCCTTCCACTCTCTCTCCCCAACCCTGGCAGGTAACATCACCTCTCGAGTAACAGATGACACATCCACCGTGTGTGAGTCTCTGAGTCATGAACTGAACATATTGATGTGGTACCTGGTGCGAGGACTGTGTCTCTTGGGGCTCATGCTCTGGGGGTCACTGTCCCTCACCCTGGTCACCCTGGCTGCCCTGCCTCTGCTTTTCCTTCTGCCTRAGAAGCTGGGAAAATGGTGCCAGGTATGTCCAGGGAGTTGGCTCAACCTACACAGACCATCATCACTGACTGGGAGACTCATTTTCCCTCAGATTACTTACAGCATGACTCTCTTGGTACCTTCACTGATTCTCCATCTTCATGGAACTCCCTGTCCCTATAGTTCCTATAATCCATGTTCACACATTGCTCAGCATTGATCTCCATATTCTCTTCTAACTTCTGCCCACAATCTCTCCTTAAGAATATGATCCTCAAACTATTTTGAGAAATTTTCCTCTTCCCTGCATGTCTTTAGTGTCCAGTGGTATAGTTGTGCCCCCTTGTCTTCCCTCCTGTCCCTCTTTCTCTTCCTGACTTTAATTTTTAAGAAGGTAGTTCAGATAATAGTGTCTCTTATGGTTTGCTAACCTTATGTGACATTTCTTGTCCCTGTCTTCACAGTCACTGGGAGTACAGGTGCGGGACTCTCTGGCAGAGGCCAGCCAGGTGGCCATTGAGGCCCTATCAGCTATGCCTACAGTCCGGAGCTTTGCCAATGAGGAAGGCGAGGCCCAGAAGTTTAGGCAGAAGCTGGAGAAAATGAAGACTCTCAACCAAAAGGAGGCCCTGGCCTATGCAKTCAACCTGTGCACCACTGATGTGAGAACCTGGAGATGAGTTGCCACTCCCTTGTCCTTTTCCTGATCTTCCTTCCATTCTTCCTGCACCAGGACATGGTTGGTTCTGAGTTTTCATCATAGCACTGAGACTCAGTTACTCTACTTGTTGTCTCTAACTTCCTTCTTCTTTTAGGGTTGCTAAGTAGCTTCCTTCCACTATGGTACACAAAGTTCACCCAACCTTRTGGATTGGAAAGATGTCATGCCTTCCAGTCCTAGGGCCTTCCTTTGCCTCTCAGCAAAAGCTAAGRGAGTCATAAATTTCTGCACCTGGGCCCACTTCATAGTGGTGCTGTGCCGATATGCTAGTGAGAGCCATGGGAATACTAGAAGCCAGGGATCAGGGGCAKCTGTGATGTAATGTAAAGGGAACTGAACAGCAATCAGCAGTCCTGGCTTGATGCTGCCGTTTACTAGCTCTGAGTACAGGCAAGTAACTTACCTTCTCTGAGGCTGTTTCCTCATTTAGAAAAATGGAAATGATGGACCCTCCGTTACAGGGACTCTTGATACTAATATTAGCTGACAGCATATTCATGAAAGTCTTTTTGTGAAGAGTAAAATGCTCCCCAAATAAGTTGATAATGGTGATGTGAGAAAGGTAAGGACGACTCCTGGGATCTGTATTTGAGTCAGACTCTGTGGATTCTCTGGTTCATTCTTCCTTTCTACTTATGGAGCCTGCTACTATAGATTGAGAGAAAGGGACTTTATCTCTCCGTTATATTAACCACTCTGGTTCTTTGTGTCCCTTCCACAATTCTTCTTTTTAAAAGTCTCTCTGTGTGGTCTCTCCATAGATCTCAGGGCTGCTGCTGAAGGTGGGAATCCTATACATTGGTGGGCAGATGGTGATAACAGGGACTGTAAGCAGTGGGAACCTCGTTGCATTTGTTCTCTACCAGATACAGTTCACTGGTGCTGTCAAGGTGAGGCCCTTCCAGTTTCACTCCCCAGTGCCATTCCTTCCCCATCCCGTCACACCTGTGTTCCTTTCCTTCCACTCTTTACCCTTCTCACGTCATATAATGCTGGCAAGCAGGTTAGGACTCCCCACTGCCCCTCTCACATTCATATCTCTCCTACAGGTGCTGCTTTCCACCTATCCCCGGGTACAGAAGGCTATAGGCTCCTCAGAGAAAATATTTGAATATCTGGACCGGACMCCTCGCTGCCCACCCAGGGGTCTATTGATTCCCTCAAACATGGAGAGCCTTGTCCAGTTCCAAGATGTCTCCTTTGCCTATCCTAATGATCCAGATGTCCCAGTGCTGCAGGTATAGCCTCTCAATCTCTGTATTYCAGCCACCTCACCTTAACCTCTGTCATCCTAAATTTTCTTTCTGCTTCTAGCCTGATAAACATCAAGCCCAATCCTTCTTAAGCTGTAAAAGACATTGATAAGGCTGGGCATGGTGGCACATGACTGTAATCCCAGTGGCTTGGGAGGCTAAGGTAGTAGGATCACTAGTTCAGAGCCAGCCTCAGCAACTTAATGAGGCCTTAAGCAACTTAGTGAGAACTATCTAAAACAAAACAACAAAACAAAAAACGCTGGGGATGTGGCTCAGTGGTTGAGTGCCTCTGGGTTCGATCCCTGGTACCAAAATAAATAAGTAAAAAATAAACAGGCATTGGTAAGCATATCTGTTCCAAAAATCTTCCCCAAACTCAAGGATTAGTTTGAACTTCCAAGAAGAATGGGAAAAGAGGTTTTAAAGAGAAGACTCTCATGTTCCAAGGACTTGCTCACCAAAATATGTGTTCCTGGTCTTCTTTCTTTTCTTGTGTGATTAAGAATGTGATTTTTTTTTTTCTGCTTCCTGGTGGTATCCAGTATCATGTGTGTGGCATAGTGGTGCTTTTCTTTACCTTCTTCTTTGTCTCATCTCCCATCTCTTCTCCTTGGGGAGGTATCATCCCAGAAGTCTGCATATGGGCTAGTAAGAATTCCTATATGTCAAGGCTGGGGTTGTGGCTCAGTGGTAGAGCGCTTGCCTCGCTTGTGTGAGGCACTGTGTTCAATCCCCAGCACCACATAAAATGAAAATAAACAAAAATAAAGGTATTGTGTCATTTTACTTATTTTAAGAAAATAAGCTATATTTGCTTAAAATTTATCTATCTATCTATATCTATATATCTATCTATATCTATATAGATAGATATTTAAGAATTCCTATATGTCCTCATTTTCTCCTTTCTTCTCTGGGGTAAGACGTCATGCTAAGTAACAAGACAATGACAGTCTTAATGTCATTGACTTAGAGTCTTTGATTAGAGTGCTTCTTATTGTGATTCTCTGACTTCCAGGGGCTGACATTCACCCTATATCCTGGTAAAGTGACAGCACTAGTGGGACCCAATGGATCAGGGAAGAGCACTGTGGCTGCCCTGCTGCAGAATCTTTACCAGCCCACCACGGGCCAGCTGCTGCTGGATGGGGAGCCCCTTCCTCAATATGAACATCGCTACCTGCACAGACAGGTGAGCAAGAAGATGGCATGGGGAAGAAGGGGAGCACCAACCTAAGAGAGCATTGCCACTGAGCTGAAAGAAGGTTAGGGATGATTAGGAGACTTTGGGTGGATAAAGAAGTGTGGTCAGGAGAGGAATGTAATTTTATGATATGCTGTCAATCATGAGTGTCCTATCTCCAGATAGCTATACTCCTCTGTTACTTGTTCTGTGATTCTTCACCATATCTCATCTTAGGTGGCTGCAGTGGGACAAGAACCACAGTTGTTTGGAAGAAGTATTCAAGAAAATATTGCCTATGGTCTAATCAAGAAGCCAACTATGGAGGAGATAAAAAGTGCTGCAATACAGTCTGGAGCCCATAGTTTCATTTCTGGGCTCCCTCAGGGCTATGACACAGGTACCTATTCATCTTACCACCTGAACACTTTTACCCTTCTGAAACCCCAGTAGTCTTATCTTTATTATTCCATTCCTCCTGCCCCGTGGACATCAATTTGAAGTTGTAAGATCTTGTTGCTGTGGTGGCTTCATCCTCATAGCCTCAGAACTCTGCCCACCCTCCCAGAACCTCCCCTATCCAGTTGTATCCATCAGTCCTTGGTGTGTGTGTGTGTGTGTGTGTGTGTGTGTGTGTGTGCACATGTGAACACATGGGTCTATCCAGCTCTCATCTGGGCTCTTGTCTCTGCAGAGGTAGGTGAGGCTGGGGGCCAGCTGTCAGGAGGTCAGCGACAGGCAGTGGCCTTGGCCCGAGCATTGATTCGGAAGCCACGTGTACTCATTCTAGATGACGCCACGAGTGCCCTGGATGCAAACAGCCAGTTACGGGTAAGACAGCCATCTTCTTAATGCCTAGATACCACTGAACTTAACTTCCTTTACTCATCCTACATTAGTTACACCAATGTCACAATTATCCAAACTGGTCCTTGGAATTTTTAGTTCCCATTAGTTTTCCCCCCAAGACATTCAGAACCAGTTAAAAGAGATTATCTCTGAATCCATAAAGACAAATATAAAGAAAAGACTATTCTAATATTAATATTAATTAAGCTTGTACTTATGTACTAGACTTGCTACTAAGTCCTTTACATGTACTGTGTCATCAATTTATTAATCGTGATTCTTGTGAGCTGGACATTATTGTCCTCTTCTACAGATACAATGGAGGCTAAGAGAGGTTGAGTAACCTGCTGTTTGGCCTGGACCCAAATTCAGATCTGTCTGACTTGAGTGCACATGCTTTTTACTACTACTAAGTTATATTTGCTCAAAATCTAAAAAAAAAAAAAAAAAAAAAAAATCCTGCTTGGTACAGTGGCACATGCCTCTAATTTCATTGGCTTAGGAGGCTGAAGCATGAAGCTCCAAGTTTAAAGCTAACCTAAGCAATTTAGTGAGACCCTGTCTCAAAAAATAAAAAGGACTAGAGATGTGGCTCAGTGATTAAGCACCCCTTAGTTCAATCCCCAGTACCAAAAATAACATAAAATAAAACAAAGAAATCCTGGCCCATAGGCAGAGAGGAGATTTAGTTTCACCATGAGATTCCTACTTTGTACCGCCTCATGTGAATGAATGAATATTCCTTAACAAAATAAAGGTTCGACAGAGAAACACTCCAAACAGGAATCTTCAGTGTCCTTGGGGTTATTGGCAAAYCAGGCAGTGACCCTGTGAGGTCTGTCCTAGCCCTGGTTCTTGTGCTGGGAGTGAGGGGTCCCGTCCTGACRGGGTTTCTGTCTTTCCTCAGGTGCAGCAACTCCTGTATGAAAGCCCAGAGCGTTTCTCTCGCTCTGTGCTTCTTATCACCCAGAATCTCAGCTTGGTGGAGCAGGCTGACCACATCCTCTTTCTGAAAGGAGGCACCATCTGTGAGGAGGGAACCCACCAGCAGCTCATGGAGAATAGGGGATGCTACTTCGACATGGTGCAGGCTCCTGCAGGTGCTCCAGAATGAAAGACTTCTCTACCTGCACATTACCTTTCCCTCCATTTTCTTCTGTTCTCTGTGGTGGAGAACTTGGGAGCAAAGGTCCTACCAAAGCTATAGAGTGGGCAGCTGCTGCTAGGAAGAGTTACATGTTAAGACSTAACCTCCTGGGTGATTCTTGAAATTTGTATGTGTGTGACTTCTTCTCCAAGCTCCTCTTGATAATAAAGACTTCCTGGAAGACAAACAGGATTTTGTAAACCCTCCATGGGTTTAGAGATACATTTGATGCTTTGGTCTGAACAGCACTCTAAAAATGAGAAGAAATATTCAGAATGTAMAGAAAGGGGAGACCAGCAGCCTTCAATATGTCCAAAGGCATATGCTGGCCCATAAWTACTCTGTGGGTTCTTGATATTTATAATAAAGTTGGTGTTTTGTACTGTGATTTCTCCTGTTTCTGGCACCCCAAGAGTTCAACACCTTTTGCAGTGTACTTCTCCAAAGGTCTTCTTTTAGTATTATTAATGTTTGACAGCCCTAGGGGCACCATCCCCTCCCCCAGATATTTTATTTCTGTGGCCACCCCTCTATTCYCCCACACTGATCTGCTCCCAAGGATGAGCAAGACTCTGATGCAGTCCTCCTCAGGACACCAGCACCTGCAGCTCAGAGCCGGCTCTTTCAGAACTGGAACACCCAGGGCGAACCCAATGGAGGAAGCGCAAGCGCTCGACCAGGGACTAGCAGGGCTTCACACCACCCACCGGTTCACTTAGATCCTTTCTGTAAGGCTCACCCAGTTCAGAGTGGCACCTGCCGCCTGGGTAATCTCAGAGTAGTGGGCGGGCTTATCTAGTAAATTTCTTCCACTCAGGGAGGGCCAGGGTGTGTGACGTTAACAGTTGCTGGGCAGATGAGGCCGACACAGGTTGCAAGAAGAGGCGGGGATTCAACTCAGCAGCGTTTTATTGCAGTCAGGAGCCAGGCGARGAGAGGTGGGCCGAAAGGCATGTTCTTGTGGGTGGCCTCTGGTTAGGAGACCCTTGAACCGGGAGGGGCCCGACAAGGGACCACGTGGAAAGAGATTGTCTTCTTCTCCTTGGGACCCGGTACAATGCTTGTACATTCTTTCCAGTGGCCCCAGACACATTGTCCCCACCATCCCCACCACCTACTTCTACTCTTCCCTGATTTTTATAGAATGATGCTAATAGGAACTCTGTCCCCCACCCTCACATGCCCCGACATGSAACCGCCTCCTGCCCCTTGCAGACTTGCACCTTTCTGATTGAGGCTACGTCTTTAGGTGCCACGACCCTACCCACTCCTTKGCTGTTTCCAGCGGATGCCTGCCTGGTGTCTCTCACTGTAATCTACTCCTAGAGGGCGTCCGAAGACCCGCTCCCTCCACCCTTCGGACAGACCATTACCCATCGTTTGTCGACCTCCGTGATGGCGGAGAAGAGATGTCTGTCCCCAGTATGAAACTCTCGGTTCAGACATCCTCTGGCCTTTTCTCGGAAAGGGCAGGGGAACGTGGAGAAAAAAAAAATTCTGGTTCCCTCCCCTTGGTGCCACGGCTTTCGCTTTCACTTCCTCCTCTGAGAGCCGACGGATCTCCGGGTGTTAAGCGATCATGGCGCTGCAGGATGTGTGCGGAACCCCCGGAGGGCAGCGGCCCGACTGGGTTGTCCCCGTTGCGGGAAACAGGCATCGCTCCGACCCGGGACACTACAGTTTCTCTATGCGATCTCCAGAGCTCGCCCTCCCCCGGGGAATGCAGGTGAGGGTGGCTGGAAACCCTAAGGGATGGGAGAGGAAAGCGTGGAGGAACGAGGGTCTGTCTTGAGGTTGCCTTGCCAGAGGCGGGAAACGCCTAGGGGGTGATCCTTCAGCGAAGAAGAGCAGCATCCAGGGCCGGCCCAGAGAGGAGCCCACAGGAGCGTGGGTACCTGAGGGCTAAGTGCAGACGAGGACAAAAAGTTAGGGATGAGGTTGGGACGCCCTTCCCACAGCAAGAGAGCTTTCCTCCCCCTTCTCCACCACACACAAACCCTGAAGCCTTTTTCATTAGGTTGTCACATGGTATAAGGGCTGTGCAGGGTCTTGGAAGACCTGTGAACTTTGGTGGCTAGTCTGGTCTCAGCAACTCACAGTGTGTCCGAGAACAAGTCATTCGGTCTAGGTTTCAAGCCCCTTTTCCTTAAAATGAGAATATGTTCATAAAACATGTTTTGTGAAGTTTGAATGACCTATCAATGGGGGAAAACCCCTTAAAATCATTCTTAAACATTTTTAGTTATGGCAACATTTGTTTTCTTTCATCTCTGTTGCACTGGAAAGTGGAAACATTTGGTGCTCTGTGCTGCTTCTTTTCCTTCTCCCAAGTCATTTCATTCTAGAATTGGTTTCTAATTATCACGTATTTTGGTGACTCGAGAATTCTTACACATCTTATTCCCAGCACTCTTTAATAAAACAGTTTTCTTTGGAGTTTCCTGCTACAGAAGTGTTCAGTGCCCCTTTCTCTTCCTCTTTCTCTCTCTCTCATAGCCCACTGAATTCCTGCAGTCCTTGGGTAGGGATGAAGAAAGAAATGTCCAGATTGAGATGGCCCATGGCACAACCACACTGGCCTTCAAGTTCCAGCATGGAGTTATTGTAGCAGTGGATTCCCGGGCCTCGGCCGGAAGTTACATTGGTGAGTGTGCAGGCTTCTTCAGCAGAATCTTGAAGAGCTGGGCCCTCTTCCTTTGGTGCAAGCCCGATGTTTGCACCAAAGCCAAAGCAGATATTGATCTAAGGCACATAAGAAGAATTGTGGGGTCATTCTGCCTCTCTCAAAACTCTGTCTTCTTTCAGATACCTTAAGGGTGAACAAGGTGATTGAGATTAATCCCTACCTGCTWGGCACCATGTCTGGCTGTGCAGCAGACTGTCAGTACTGGGAGCGCCTGTTGGCCAAGGAGTGCAGGTGGGTGAGGCCTCACACCTCCCTTTCTTAGTCTAGTGGTTGATTCCTGGGTCTCCTAGATCACTGCTCCTCACCCTTGTCCYCTGTGGTCTATATTAATGCTAAAAGAGTACTTCCCAAACAGYCTTTGAGTGATAAAAGCCTCCCAAATSTYCATCTGTWCTGCTGCCTATAAACCAAATACTTTCTCAATTATTTAGTGTGGACACTATCAGCTGTGATGATGTAGTATCATTTMCTAGGTTTTAAAAATGTGTTTTAGATACTTTACATTCCACATCTTTCCCCAATCCTTGGAGACTACAAAATAATTCCTTCCAAGTGTTTAGCTTTTAATCATTTCCTGATTCATCAGGTGGGAGACAGCTAAACTCCCTCCTCCACCTCCTGTCCTCATACAGGCTGTACTACTTGCGGAATGGGGAGCGGATCTCAGTGTCAGCTGCCTCCAAACTGCTCTCCAACATGATGTGTCAGTACCGGGGCATGGGCCTCTCCATGGGCAGTATGATCTGTGGCTGGGACAAGAAGGTGGGTATTCTCCATTTCCCATGATCCTCCAGCACAGATGAGTGAGCCCTTCTGCCTGCTACCCTCCCATTTCTGCCCCGACAAGATGTAACAGCATATAGAATGTTTGATTCTAGAACTGTTTCAGTATATGCCCAGGCTATTTCTTGGTCCAGATGTGGACACTTTATGTCCTTCATAAGCTATTTTGCTAAAATAGCTGAATCCCAGTTTTGTTTTTCCTTTTATTTCTAAAGTGATTTTTACCAAAGTGCTATCCTAATTCAAATGTTCTTATGGTAATTTTCATTCTTTTGAAAACTTTTTATGACTCACCCTTAAGCCTCTATGTTACCAACATTTCCTTTTCAAATTCAATTCAGAACTTTGTTTCATCCTACAGGGTCCAGGACTTTACTATGTGGATCACAATGGGACTCGGCTCTCAGGAMATATGTTCTCCACGGGTAGTGGGAACAGTTATGCCTACGGGGTTATGGACAGTGGCTATCGGCCCAATCTTAGTCCTGAAGAAGCTTATGACCTTGGTCGCAGGGCTATTGTTCATGCCACTCACAGAGACAGCTATTCTGGAGGCGTTGTTAATAGTAAGAGACTGATAATCCCACCATCATGCCTGGGAATTGGGATTTAATTTTAGGGTACTCAGGGGAGGCAGAGTGGTAGGGAGGAGGTTTTCAGAGTAAGAAGAAGTGCCCAGTAATAAGGGTTTTGAGCATGTGTGTGTGTGTGTGTTTTTGTGTGTCTGTGTGTGCACATGTGTATTCCTGTTGCCTTCAACATAAAACTGTGAACAGGAACTTGCTGAAGGGAAGGGTGACTCCATGCTCTTCTCTCATTTGTCCACAGTGTACCATATGAAGGAAGACGGTTGGGTGAAAGTKGAAAGTACAGATGTCAGTGACCTGCTGCACCAGTACCGGGATGCCAGTCAGTAATGGTGGAGACTGGGCAGGCCTCCTCAGGCTAACCTGGTAGACTCAGGGATCTGGTCATCTTAAGTCCCAGGAGAAAGAGTAGCCCGATCAAAGCCAGAGATAGAGAACTGGCTCCGCAGTCAGTGGGGACCTGGAAGGTTGGACCCAGCTCATCTTTTTTTGTGTGTGTGTTCTCCATTTCAGGGAGCATCCCTCCTGGGTGCTTCCTAAGCACAATAAAGTAAAAACGGTTATAAATGYATCTGTGTTGTGTGCTGAGGAATGGGGACTGTGGTTTTATTTGGCAGGTTGGAGTAGAGGGGAGGAAATCGAGACACTTTTCCAGAGAAGGGACTTAGACTCTTACCTAAGAAATGAGGTCTGACCAATTAGTTCTTCTCTCTAGGACTTCAGGAGGACTGATGATGTTCTCTTTGGACACTTATTTGCAATTTCATTTAACTCAGGGTCCTTTCTAAAGAGACATTATCTGTGTGGTCTGTTATTAACTTTCTGGGTTACTGGGGGGGAAGGCACCTAGAACAGCTGGTTTTTGACTGTAAAATGGAATGAAAAAGTTTTCACCTCACATATGTGTGGTAGTTGTAAATACTGTACCAYTTACCCTAAGCAACACCTTGGAAGTATTGTTTTTTGAATGTAAGATGGGCATTTAGGGTGATTGGAAGTTGACAGAATCATCATGATTGAAGAGGAAGAAGACATAAACAGGAATCAAGTGGGGAATATGAGGTAAAAATAAAAGATCCAGGTTAGAAACAAAACAAAACAAAACAAGACAGATACAGTGAGATTCTCTGATTCACACAGGAGCTGCAGGAAGGAGCATGGACCACATCTTAGTCAGAAGAGAGGTGGTTAAAGGAGCCGCTTAACAGTTGGGAGCAGCTGGGAAAAGACCCTTAAAACCCCAGAGCAAATAAGTTCAGAGACATTTTAATAATTATCTACTTCAACACTTTCCTGCAACTATTTTCAACTTYAAATGTTACACAAATAACTTTTTAAAAGGGGAGTTTGGAATCCAAGTGATCACTGCTTTGAGGTTTTTATGTATGTATTTTTCAAGTTTTGGGTGTAGTTTCAACCGGAAGAGAGTCATTTCTGAAGTGAACAAATTTGCAGTTTCTATAGATAGGCTCTGGGTCAAGTAGGACCTGCAGAAACCTAATGGCATTTTTCTTTTTTGTAATGGAATTGAACCCAGGGCACTTCACAACTGAGCCCTTTTATTTATTTATCAGCCCTTTTATTTATTTATTTTTTTGAAGAACTTCTTTTTTGTTGTAGATGGACACAATACCTTTATTTATTTTTTAAATGTGGTGCCGAGGATAAAACCCAGTGCCTCACACCTGCTAGGCAAGCACTCTATACCACCGAGCCACAACCCCAGTCCCAGCATTTTTATGTTTTGAGCAGGGTCTCTCTAAATTGCTAAGGCTCAATCCTCCTGCCTCAGCCTCCCAAATCGCTGGGATTACAGGCGTGCCCAATTGTTATTCTAATCTGTATTAAAATAGACCAGTACCTGACATTTTCCTTATATGCCAACCACTTTCAGCACATTTCTGAACACAAACGTACAGGCCCTGTTACAAGTGCTCTGTTGAGCAGAACATATGAAGATAAAGGGCCAGGACCTCGCTAAATTAAAAATCTATTAGTGGAAACCTTCTTTGACCTGGTAAGAGTGTCTGGAACTTTCATTAATGAGCAACCCTGCTTGTTTGGCTCTGGCTCTGGCTGTTTTACCCCRAGGCCCTAAAACGGGCTCTTCTGGGAGAATGGGGCACTTCCTGAAATAGGTTCCGAGCCAGAGGGAAAACTAAACAAAGTTACAGAGCACCTCAGACCCTGAAGCAGTTTTGCAATTTTACATTAAAAACTAACCGCCACAGAGGACGAACCACACTCCAGGGTTGGGATTTGCGAGCGCGACCTGCGGATCCCGGCTCCGCGGTCTGCGAGTCTCTGGCGCCGCCTGTTGGCCGCCGCGCCCAGAAAGAGGCAGGAGCTGGGAAGAGAAAGCGAAAGCCGCGAGGCCCCGGCGCCGGGCTGGGAGAACATCGCTGGCAGACCAAAGAGGGAAACGGAGTTGAGACAGTAGGAGCGGATTTCAGGCTCAGACCCCAGCACCTAACCGACAGCCGCGCAGAGCTGCATTCACGCCGCCGCCGCTGGTGAGTTTGTGCGCACGGAAACTTGGATCGCGAGCAGGGGCGCCGCCGACCACCTCCCACCCCACCGCCCACCCCACGCCACACCCTTTGCTTCCCGATCCTCTGACCCAGAGGAAAGGAAGAGAACAGGGCTGGGCTCGCTGGGCTCTTCTGAGCTCCGCGGCGACAGGCGCGGATGGCGGCGGGACCCGATTAGGGGATTTCTTATTTTTAAAGCGTGAGGCTTCCCAGCTCCCTCTGACGGGCAGAGTGCCGCCAGCCCTAGGAGGGACGTGCTGATGAGCACTGGGTACCCAGGGAATCTTACAGGGTGGGATCGGATGAAATGAGAAGCCAGTGGACCGGTGGGGGGGACACAGGGTGGCGGGGACAGAGAATGCTACTCCACTTCCCAAAATTTTCACTTTCTACCCGTAGATGGCGCTCCCTGACCTGAGGCCCTGGGCCTCCCTGCTGCTATTGGACGCAGTCTTACTCTGGCTGCTTCAGGGGACTCTGGGGACTTTGCTTCCTCAAGGGCTTCCAGGACTATGGCTGGAAGGAACCTTGAGACTTGGAGGCCTGTGGGGGCTGCTAAAGCTGTGGGGGCTTCTGGGATTTGTGAGGACCTTGCTGCCCTTGCTGTGCCTGGGGACCCCCTTGTTCCTCTCTCTGAGATCCTTCGTCGGGGGAACATTGAGTGCTCCCCCAGTCAGAGTGGCTTCAGCCTCTTGGAGCTGGCTGSTAGCCGGGTATGGGGCTGCAGTGCTAAGCTGGGCGGTATGGGCTGTTTTGAGCCCTCCTGGAGCCGAGGAGAGAGAGCTGAGCCAGGAGAACAACAGAGACCTGATGTGGAGGTTGCTGAAGCTCTCCAGGCCAGACCTGCCATTCCTCTTGGCCGCCTTCTTCTTCCTTGTTACTGCTGTGTTGGGTGAGTGGGGCCGGGCRTTGTGAGTTCGAGTCTGGACAAGGGCCTTGGCACCAGCACATTCATCTGGTGTTCTCATGYCTTTTTTCAGGTGAAACATTGATCCCTCACTATTCCGGTCGGGTGATTGACATCCTGGGCGGTGATTTTGACCCTGATGCTTTTGCCAGCGCCATATTTTTCATGTGCCTGTTCTCTGTTGGGAGGTAGGTGATGGGCAGTTGGATCCCCAAGTCTATACAGGGGTCTTCACTCCTAAATCTATTTTGCACAAAACACAAAATACTTRAACTGAAATATACATGTATTTATCCACTATTCACTTTCGTCCACTCATTTCTTCCTTTATTCGCATTTACCCAATATCTTCAAAGTTTATAATACATTATTACCAATATGAGTATGGTTGGAWGTAGTACAGAAGGAATTTATGTGTCAAAGGGAATGTCTTTCAGTTGCCTATCAACATTTCTCCATGAAATTCCACTTCTCTTTTCTGCCTCCTCCCTCCCACCCCTGTGTGTCTTCAAAGCATCTCTCCAAGGTGGACATATCCCCATCTCTCTCCACCCCTCAGTGTTCATTCATTTTGCAAATCCCGGAAGCTCTCACTCAGAGGCCTATCTTCCTTATTTCCAGCATCTTTTACTCTTTCTCTTGACTTGCTTTCCCCTCTTTTTAGACATACACAAGAATCTGCTGTCACAAACAGGCKGGGACTGGATGAGGTGAATGAAGCAGCTAGGGTGCAAAATTTAAGGAGATGCTCACTTTAGCTTGCAACTGCTCCTTTTTCGTGGCCATACTTCCTTTCAAATACTCTCAAAAGCCAATTCTTTCATTATGTCTTCATTCTATACTTGGTACTTTCTGCTGGAACTACTCAAATGTGAACTTCTTATTGACCAATCCACTATCCCCCACCCCCTTCTAATCAGGCCACAGTTCTTTTTGGCTTCTCTGTAGCATTTGGCTATATTATAATCTCTTTATTGATCTCTTTCTGCAGTTAGCTTTTATGAATTCCCTTTCTACTTTCCAAATCATTCTGCCTCCTTTGAAGAGCTTTCCTCCTCTGTACACTTAAATATGGACTTTGCTTTTAACTCATTTTTTTGATCTTTAGTAACATTTTTCCTATTAAGCTAATTGAGTTCATCTCTGGATATCATCACCAGATCCATATTTCCATAAGGATTGTCCCCTTATATCCAATAGAATCCCTGTTGAATAGCCCACTCACACTTCGTGTACTCAGAACTCCAAATGTATCACACACGGTTCTGGTCATCCAGAAATTGGCTCTGTCTTTTCATTCATGAAACCATCAGTATCCTGGGCTTGAGCGTCTGCACCATGGATATCTTCCTCATATCAAACACTAGTCCTGCTACTTCCTACTTTCAAAATGTTTCTTCTATATGTGTTTCTTTTCTTTTCCTTCTTATTTAGATCACCAGTCCAAAACCCTCCTGATTTCATGTCTGATTGATTACCCAACAGCCTTTTATATATGTAACTAAATATTATTAGAAATCTGTGTTTTATAAACACACATTTTTATGTTTTTTAAAATATTTTTCCTTTAAGTTTTTTAAGTGTATTTTTTCAATTGTAGATGGACACAATACCTTTATYTTATTTGTTTATTTTTAATGTGGTGCTGGAGATCGAACCCAGTGCCTCATGCATGCTRGRCAAGTGCTYTACYASTGAGCCACAGCCCTGGCCCTCCTTTACGTTTTATAGTAAAATTTTGGTTGGTCGAAGGGGAAGTCTTCAAGAATGAAAGGCAGGGTCAGTGTGATTCTGTCTCTGGAGAACGGAAGGGCAGGGAGATCTGTGCTGAAGTATAACGAAGTATCTATGATTATGAAGAAGGGTTTTGGRGCCAGGGAGAAAAGAGACCAAGACAGAGAAGAAGCCCAGAGKGACAACATAGAGGGAGGCCAGAAGTAAGCCCTGGGCTACTTCCTTTCACTTCTGTTGTATTCCGCCTTGCCTTGTGTAACACAGAGTGAACTCCATGAGCAYTCATGAATTGTACATGTGATGACTTTGCTCCCACATCTGGCTTATCAGCTCTACCATTTCTTCTTCTCTTTATTCCCAAACCTTCTCTTCTCTTCTCTGTC